AAATTTGAGGCATTACGTGGCAATATGGTTCGTAATATGAGATCAGAAGTAGACTTTTATAAAGAACTTGAAGGAAACCGTAAGAAAATTCCTAAAAGTTATGAGCAAAGACAAATAACAAATAATGATATTGATGTTTAATTGTATAGCTTCGATTCCTAAACTCCATGATTTTGTGGTAAAAAATGAAAGTGCTCAAGTTCACATAATCAATGAAGCAGACGTGAAATCCTATATTCGGTACATCGAAGTCGGCCGAGGTATGATTCGTTCGCGCGTCCCGCGTAAGCAATTCACTTGTGATATAACGTGAATCCCACAGTGCCGCTATGTCACACCAAAGATGCTGCTGAAAGAACGACCGAAAATATGTTTTTTTTGTTTCAAGTATCGCATGAATCATATATACTTACACATACACAAGACACAAAACATGATTCTCAAAGTGTGAGCAAGCAATGACAAAGAAGAAAAAGAATCAAACCAAAAAATTATTTATTTGGGTTTCGTATTACCTCTGCAAATCTGTCTTGAAAAAATCATTACAAAAGATACATTCAATTGGAAACGATTTCGTGTTTTGTTTGGTGTGTGCCCTACAAGAATTTTGCTATACATTGAGGTTTACGTCGACATGTCGCCGTAAACCAAAACCTTCCCGCGACATTCCGCATTGCGATAGGTTTTTCAATGAACGGGTTTACGCAAAATCATTACGCTGACAAATCTGCGACATATCGCAATGCGTAAACCGGTAAATTCGAATTGTATCCAACTTCATTACAATGAATAATTTCAAATGGTTTTATTTAAACTTTTCATGTTGCTCATCGTTGCTAATAAGAAATAAAAACTTATTCAAAATAATTATTAAGTAGAATAAGCAGCCATTGCAGCCTTTAAAAATACAACATGCTGAATTCGAATGAAGTTGATCGCAGTTCATGCATTTTGTGTTTTTTCCATAACTATTGCGGAAGGTTGGCGATACGTTTGCGTAAACGTTGTCGCAAAATTCTTGTAGGGGTGCATGTTGTGAGTATGCCGCTCTCATTTGCCCAAGCGCGCGCAATTTTATTTATAAGACGTTCCAATGAAATGTAAAACAAAAGACTACAAAGAAGAAAATATGCTGCATATGTACTCTTTACCCCTGTGCTCTCTCTTCCTCTCTCTTTCTCTTCCTATCTCAATCAATAATACCATTAAAGGTTTTGAAACCGAAAAATATTACTCCGCTTTTTCGCCCAAGCGACAATTCTGATTGCCTAAAATAAAAAAATTAAAGAGTTTGTTTACTTAAGTTTCGAATTACCGTTTCCCATTACTTCTGAAAGAAGTGCTAAGTAAACAGAAGAAAAAAATCATAACACACTCAACAATATTGGATTGCTCTGATTTTATTCTTTCCTTAATGTTTTGAAAGGTAAAAGATGATAGGAAAAGTCAACTTGACTTGATGATTTTATTTTCATTGTGAAAAAAAAAAGTTATGCGATTAGAATAATTTGCGGCAAACGCTGGCCCCGGCTTCTTGTCCCTCTGGACATTCACGTGATTCGCTATCGCCGTTGATGTTGAGCAATTCAGCTATATTTCGGTGAAATGTGTTTGGTGACAATGGCGAATCCAATTCACTGGAAACATCAAGCTTCATAAGATGATTCATGTTTTTCGGTGGTCGATTCATCACAATCACTCTTATTCTTCACATCGCAAACATCATCATGATGGACTGCATCACTGATCCAACAACATTTTGCAACAATTTGCTCACGATTCTTTGGGATAGTGCCGGTCATTGAATCATGTTCTTCAGTTGTCGATTCATCGCAATCATCATCATCATGCAGTTCAGTGATGCTGGCGGATTCATTCATGATTGATCGGTTTGACATTGTAATGGTTGGCCACAAAAACATTGAGCATATGTTTAACAAAACATCCTTCGAAAAGATGTATTTGACTTTCACCTCGCCATGGACAGACGGAACTTCGATTTCGATGCATGCTTGACGCCAACCAACACTAAAACCACTGACCGCATCGATGCCTTTGGAGTTTCCATTCCAAACACCGTCGTTAATCTTCGCAACAATTTGCACACGATTCTTCGGAATAGTGCCGATTGAATTTTTACCCAGGAAAACGAAATTGTAAACACGCAAGAGAGTGTCGTCAAATAAAATGTCAAAATCGATGTCATCACCGATCACTTGCGATTTTCACAACTGTTAAAAAAAATGAAAATCTCTTACGTGGCAAGTTCTTAATCTTGTTTTTGATTGCTTCGACTTGTAGCCCGCGGTTGATTTCAGCAAACTTTTCCAATGTGATATTTTCCATTTCGACTTGACATTTTGGCAGCTTAGCTGCCAATTCATCGACTTTTAAGACCTTGTTTGCTATACGTTTTGGCTTGCTAACCGATGCCGAAGAGTTAATTTTGGACCACTTTTCAACATTACCCTTCTCATCAACACTGAACAGTACGCTACGTGTTACTTTGAAAATTTCACGACCTAAAAATTCCATTCACTCAGTGAAATTATTATCAATTTTTCCATTGAAAATATGTACGAATTGAACATTCCGTAATAAATAGCATAGCTAATGTTTGTGTATGAAACATATACGGAATCAAGAATTTAAAAAATGTAAAATGATTTTGATACACCAATTTTAGCACAGTGGCTGATGTCATATACTCGTTTATATGTGTAATACACAATGTGTATGCAAATTCAAAAAATTAAAGGTCAAAATATCAACTTTTCATGATGAGTTATCAACAACTCAAAGTAAACATCATCAACTTGACTATTTATTACGCTTGCAGGCGTCGTTTGAACAACACTCTGTTATGATTTCATTTGTCGTTTTCATCAGTTAGACTGATAGCAAGGAATTTTAAGATGTTCAAATATACTCAAGTAAGTGGTAATTTCTTTTTTAAAGAATTATAAGAAGTGCGTTGAAAATGAATGAATTAAAAATTGTGATTTCCTTTTTATTGTGAAGTAATTTTACTATTTATAGTGTCAAATTGATGTGAAATAATTCTATGTATTTTATCATATAAATGGTTTAATGAAGCTCCTTGTGCTGAGTCAGATCGTACAAACGACGGATCTTTTGTACTACTTGAATTCATACATTTTTCGATTAGAATAACTGATATGTTACATTACATCCGCACAGTCATAACAAGTTAGAGCTACTCGTCGCTTCGTTGTAATGGTTTAATATACTGTTATAAACACAATTAACCGCTTTAATTTTGAACGTTTAACAACCGAGTTCATTGGCATTAATTAAATTCTAGGCTGCGTGCATTATATGTTTGGTGGTTATCAACGCTTTCTTATTTACCTTTGCTGTCAATGACATTGAAAATGAATGGAATAGATTCAAGGTGAGAGAGACATTTTAACATTTTAAAATTCTTTGTTTTTTTATTCACATTTGACTGAAAGCCGAAAGAGTAATAATACAATTGCATTTTTTTTTTCTCTCATCATTTCTAGTTGAAGTATTCAAAAGAGTATAAAAGTGATGCCGAAGACTTGTTTCGCATGAATATTTTCAAAGAAAACCAACAGAAAATTGCCCAACACAATGTAGCCTTCGACAAAGGAGAAGTTCCATTCAAAACGGCATTGAACAAGTTTGCCGATTGGACAAACGATGAATTCGTTCAAATAAGTGGCAGAGTCGATACTTCTGATCAAACGGCACCAAAAGAGTAAGTTATTTTTCTATTGAAAAGGTAACATTTGTCAAGAAATTGGTTTTTGTAATTTCAGTACGAACAATGATGTCAACAAGACAATTATAGATTCAACCGTATTTGTTTCACCAGCCAATGTAATAATTCCACCGTCGGTAGATTGGAGGGAGAAGGGTGCTGTCAATGAAATCAAAGATCAAGGACGTTGCGGCTCATGTTGGGCATTTGCGGCTAGCGCTGCATTGGAATCGCATCATTTCATCAAGACCGGACAGTTGGTGTCATTGTCCGAGCAAAATATTATTGATTGCTCAACTGAATACGGAACCCATGGATGTAACGGCGGTTTTAGATACTATGCTTTCCAATACGTTAAGGATAATGGTGGCATTGAATCTGAAGAATCTTATCCGTACGAAGGCACCGATAATAACACCTGTCGATACAATCCAAAGAACTCAGTTACCACTGATCATGGTGTCGTCGATATTCCGGAAGGAGATGAAACGGCATTAGTCGCGGCTCTTGCCACCGTCGGCCCAGTCTCCGTTTCCATTGATGCAACGCACTATTCATTCCGATTCTATTCTACCGGCGTGTACTTCGAACCGGAATGCCTTTCGCAAAATGTGAATGGTCACGCTGTGTTGGCGATTGGCTATGGAACGGATGAAAATGGACAAGATTACTATCTTATCAAGAACAGCTGGAGTACCTCATGGGGAAATGCCGGATACTTCAAATTGGCACGCAACAAGAACAATCACTGCGCTATCGCTTCAGCAGCTTATTATCCACTTTGACAAATTTCATTCATTGTTTTTATTTTGTGTTCAACACAGTCTAGACAAAATCTGCTTTTCACTCAAGTAATAAAGAACAAACGTTTGAGATAAAATTAATCTTTCGAGAAAATCCTGTATTTTTGTTAACCGGATTGTAAATTGTAGCACAATATACATCGATATACATTGCCACCAGAGATTATTGGAAGAAGAACTGGACAATTCTCCAAATATAGTATAAAACAAACTGCTGAACAATGAACCCAATTCGATTTGTTAATCCACACACATGTTGGTCCGAACAAAGAGATCGTCAGAGTTACTTATTAGCTTGATTGGATTGAATCGTTTGGCCAAATTTGCTTCATCTCATACAATGTTACATTTATTTATTCAACACATTTTTGGTTATAGGCATAATATATAAATCTGTAACGAAAACTCTATAAAAGATTATTTTACATTAATTGTTTCTACGATGATATGACTTATCGTTTCATTCTGGAAATAAAGTGAATGGGACTTGGCATTGAAGCTTCCATGGATTATTTACATGCTTCAACTTTAAATTACTTAGTCGCAAGCTTAATACAACAAGAGCGCATTTAATTTGCAATGAAATGCTCAGAAGTTATTTTTCAAAAGAACGAAATGTGTATATTGATGAGTTGAACTTTTTGAGTGCTACTTCCGTTCATGTATCCAAAAAATGGTTATTTCTCTCCTTTTTTTTCGAAGTGAGTGTATTATACATTTATATAAGTCAAACATTTACACTGTCTGAGATTAAACGAGATGATTGTGCACTGGAATATAATAAATTGTAACAATTCCGAAATTTAAGCACTAGCACTAACTAATTTTAACACGATTTGTTCATATGTGTATTCTTCTGTTGAGATGAAAGAGATCGTATTCTTTTCTTTCATTCAATTCATAGTTGTTTTTTTATTAAGTCATCTATTATGATTATTCGTTCGGATTAATTTAAAATGTTGAAACTTTTCAATAAAACTACAAGAAATAATTTGCCTGTGTGATTTATGTTATGAATTTTTAATCGTTTTCCAAATAACTTTAAATTCAATGTACACAAATGTTAACATATTTGATTCTAAATTTGGAAAAAAGAGTAAAAAAATCGGCTGATCATACGAGAACTATCTTGGTTGCAAAAGCTGATGACTTGCAATAACTTTTGTACCATGAATAGCAATAACATGCATGATTAGAAATGATTCATGGTGTTTCCTTACCTTGGAAACGCGAAAAAAATAATACCGGAGCTGAAATTATTTTCGATGACACTTGATTATATTTCTTTCATATTTTATGGGCAAAGAAGTAGAAGTATAGAAGATAAAATCTATAAATTCAATCGTATTTTTCGTTTACACTACATAGTCCTGCAAAATCTGGGTTTGAACCGGTTTTACACCCTGATGCTGCGGAACCTACAGTATAAGTTGGCTTTTTGCTAATATTCGCTATGGAATAGTTGCAGACAATCAGAGATTTTCGCCTTTTGCCTTCGTTGAATTTACTTATTCCACAGCCCACTTTGTGCGCACTATCTTTCACAATTTGCGTGAAGTGTGCAATCCAGTCACTGTAAACAAAAATATAATAATATTTTAGCGATTTGCTCATATTCCTTTCGAAGTTATCATGATTCATGACATCTTAAAAAAAAAATTCTTTCTCTGTAAATTATCTACCGAAACATTTTACCCCTGGTCATTTGATAATCGTTTGTATTCTGTGATGTCGCTCGATTCAGCAAGTGACCATTCTTCAAACCAATAGCCGGGAGCCCACCTGGCAATTTCAACGCCCGTTTTGTCACCATTTTCAGCCAAATTTTGACCGGCCAAAGTGAATTCGTATGTGTTTCGGCATTTATCATGTTCCATTTCACACTGTAATGTATTCAGTTCGGCCAGTGAGGCCAGCGTATCGTCCCATGTCTAGAAAATTCCAACTTTGATATCTTATAATGCCCAGTTTTACGAAAAAACACAAAAATACCGAACTCACACATAAAATTAGCTTACCATGGTGGCCATGCGTGTGGCTGCTTTATATCCGGATGTTTGCCCAAGTGCTTGTTGATTTCGCAATTTGTTGTGCTCTTCCAAAATAATTCGCTTCAACTTGGGTGTCATTTTGATTTGTTCTGGATCATCACAACTCGGAGCCCATTGCTATGCGTTGAGTTGAAAAGAAAACAATTTAACCGACAATCAAATAAAATACACTTTCTTAAAGTAGAAAACTTCAATATCGTATTATTTTTCTTTCTCACTTACAGGGTTACCGGACATGCACGCGACGTGTTTTTGTCCACCTGAACCTATGCGACGAATGAAATATTTAAACGAGAACCTTCTAAAAGTTCACAGAAAAAAATCGAAAGATGCTCACATAGTTTCGGATCACACCACCCACTTTGGGCATTCACGGAAACGGCAATAAAGCACAAAACTACAATAAATGCAAATTATCACGAAAAGCATTTTCCTCATTGAACATCAACGATTTTTCACTTACTAAAAATCCCTCGGTAGAAAAACATGATGTCAGAAATATTGGCAAAGTCAGCAATTCAACTTGGAATTCTCTGAACTTTTTCCAATCTCTGTGCACCTTGCCAGTAATAATGGGTTTATTGAATTTGTTATAACTGAAGCATTCAGCGAAGAGTGATCCGTATTTATAGTGGATTCATTGATGATGCGGAAATTTGCTTGGAGAATTTGATTCCGATTATATTCAAATTTTGATTGTAAATTATCACTTTTTGACAGAGCTAATGAAGTCATAAAAATCCATCCAAAGTAATTCATTATTCAATTGTATGCAATTATTGTAATCGTACAAAATCTAATTTTAGTATTTGCAATCATGCACTGTTTGATGCATGTGTTTTAACTGGTTCTATTCGTGGGAGCGCGGGCATTTCATTACGAACAGTTTGGCTTTAGTACCATTTCGTGAGGAAATTTTGTTCCGATTGGTCGACATTTATTTATCTTATCAAATCAGCAAAAACACATTATTTTGTAATTCCTTTTATACTGTATTTATGATGAGATTTTTTTCTATTTTCTTAATCATTTCTAAATCAATTCAACCAATCAGATTGATTTGAATAAAGAAAATTCATTTCCTCGCCAATGAGCGTATATTTGAATACACATAATTCATTATTCATTTTGTGGAACTTCACCACATTCTACTCTCTAGTATTCTACACCTTTTCAATTGAATCCAAGCGTTAACTAAAACAATTGATCAAACGCCAAGTATGAAAACACGATGAAAATGCTGGAAGTGAACATCTTTATTTATTATCATTTCTTTTAATACTCATAATAATACATTGGAACGTGTGGGCTTTTCGAACAAATAATTATTTGTTTGAATTTTAGAATCATCGAAATAAAATTATAATTTTACTTTGATGATTCTAAAATTCAGAGAGATTTCTCCCTTTCAAAATATTTTGGTTTAGAAAATTGAGTGAAGATTTGTTTGTTAAATGAAGTGAACTGCAACAATGAATAATGAACAAGAACACAAATACAGTTCGCAGCATCGTAATTGATTGGACATATATTCCCTGTTTCCAAATGTGTGTATATGTATGCATGAGCCATGTAATGTTGGTTGAATGTTATGGATATATCTTTTCACTTTCTTGTGTTGACTCAGCACAGTTTTGCTTATCAATAATGATGCACTCAACAGAGTGTGTTTTTTTAATTGTGTTGTTTGTTCAGAACTTGTCTAAATTTTACATTTTGTTGCAAATTCTTCGCATAACAGTGGCTACAAAATACATAGCTATTTACACAGAACAGTATAAGTTTGAGAAATACTATGATTTACAAAAAAGATTATATTTCAAATTAAAGACTGAGTTTGTATTAAATGAGCCGCCCATAAACAATAATGATATTTTAGCACGGAAACTTGAGTTGCTACTGCGTGTTCTGTAATTATTTGGACTTTATTGGTATCAAGTTCAGATGAACTCCACCTTTGGGATTCAATACAAAGCAATCTGGTATATAGGAAAGTGGTTCAATTGTTTTCGAGTTGAGGGTGAATTCAAAATTGTTGAGCAGAATCGCAAGGCCAGTTCGGGCTTGCATCATTCCAAAACGTAGGCCAACGCAATTTCTGGGTCCTTCGCTAAAAGGTAACCATGTCATAGTATCTCTTTCTCGTGCTATATCGGCTGCAAATCTGTCAGGATCAAATCTCTCTGGGTCTGGATAGTATTCTGGATCATTTTGAATAGCGTACGTGGGGATCACAATGATTGTTCCTTTCTCAATGATGTTGCTAGTTTCTGGAACATTATAATCATTTTTTGCAATTCGACTCACGAAAGGTACGGGTGGATACCTTCGAAGGGTCTCTGAAAAAGATAGAAATGAAATCAAACATACATTAGTTGTTGAAATGGACCTTTCCAAATCTGTGCTATTTATTTACCATGCAACATGATCAATGATGAAAAATAAATTAAAACAGACTAAATGCAAACTATGTCACTCACCCTGAAGTATATGATCAATGTATGGCATATCCATCATCATTTCATATGTGAATGTACCGTGCTTTTCATACGCCTCTTGAACAACCTTCCGCGCTTTGGATTGAATATCAGGATTCTTTGACAGCTCATACAAACAGAACATCAATGTGGTCTGATGAAAATAAAAAGACGAATAAAAAAAACAGAAATTTTTTCTATAACATCGCCAGGTTCTGTGTGCTCTATCATTGCATTAAACTCGAAAATGTCCGAAGAGAGAAGATGATTTTTGAGCAAAGCATTATATATACTCAAAAATTGTCTTACCGATGATGTTTCAAATCCGGCCAAAAAGAACAGAAAAGCTTGAGCGGCGATTTCATTTAAGGTTAAACCCTCCAGAGCATTCTTATCGTTTTTCAATTTAATCAAAATGTCCATGAAATCGTTTCGATGCACGTCATTCTTTTCACGATATTTAACCGTGTTATAAACCATGCGCAAGAAAAACTCAGACACATCATCTGGCATTATTTTCACATGGAATCTTCTGGAAACATTTTTCATTCCAATGACCAAAAATTGAATCAACGACGGATATCTCGGCCGGAATGCTTTTTCGCCCATATTCTTGAACCCAGCATTGGGATCTTTCAAACTATTACACTCGATTCCAAATGCACATGTGCCAATCACATCCGTGGTGAATCTTGCTAGAAGATCTTTAATTTCCACTTCATTATTTTCTTGAACTATTCCGCGTAAACAATCATTGAAACGTTCTCCCACTTCAACAACGTGCGAAAACATGATTTTCATTTTACCACTTGTGAAGGTGGGAGTCAGCTTGGCACGTAGCTTTTTCCACTTATCACCGTCCAATGTAAACAAATTTGCACTCAACGGATCATCTTCTTCATTCGAATAAAACCCTTTGTCACTGAAGTTTGAGAAATCTTTCACTAGAATATGTTTCACGAGGTCAAGGTCCAAAATCATGGCTATTGGTGCAGCCATTAGATAAACGCCACAATACTTTGCAGTTCCTTTAAATTTGTCGTAAATTCGTTTTGTTATATCAGACGTATGAATGGTTTTATTCAATCCTTTCACACTTCCATAGGGAATGATCGGTTCTTCAAATGGGATTCCACGTGACTTCCAGTAGTTGAACGCATTTTTGAAGTAAATATATGCAGCGGTTATGATTGAAATTAACACAAATGCTATAATGCTTATCAGCTCCATTGCTTATGGGATTTCATACAACACTATGAGCTCAATCTCAGGTGCTGAACCTTTACGTCGTACTATTTTTCTGCTGAAATTTTATCCAGCAAAACTTAAATCTTAAATACTTAGCGTATTGAAGGGTTTTCAATTATTATTTAGAAGAATTTTAATCAGTAAACTTCAATCAACTTTTTCACAAATTATGACTTTGTTGCTTACTCTACGACAATAATATCTTAACTATGGGCTACATACCATAGTATTAGAATGGATTCAGTATCTATATAAACTGTGAGTCAAAACAGATGATGGCATTTGTAAAGCCAGAATGAGTTAGCAATAAATGAAATTCCAATGAGAAATAATGATTTTTTGCACGCAAACTATCAAGGGGAAAACCGTGATTCTTTCATTCACAAAATTCGTTTCTATTATTCAATTTTATACCAATGAAATATAGACACAAAATGAATACCACTACATTCACATCAACTGTAGGATATTTGACATTTTACGGATCCTGTGCAACTAAAATACGTCGATTGTAATGAATCTGTCTAATTTGGCCGTCACTAATCTGTCAAGCATCTGAGATGCGCTGATACATAAACTGTACAGTCGTTATACAGTCGAAGTGTGTTAGTTACGTAAAATCCGTAAAGTGTCAAATATTCTATAGTTGGTGTGAATGTAGTGGTGTTTGTGTGTATGAAACTATTTGACAAAATCTTAAACTATCGAATCATATCCACTATGAATGTATATTTTTGACATTATCATAATGCGGTGAATCTTTAGGCATCTCAACTGACAGTAATACCGACTCGTCGTCATGACAACGCAAAATTTCCAATGAATCGTCTCTGGAGAAAGTCCAGTTAAAAGAATTTCACACAGTTGTAAATATCCAAAAGTAATCAGTAAGAAGAAGCCACACATATTCATAATCAAGTCAAAATGTCAATGTTGACAGAATAAACAACAGTGTGCTCAGATGATAGCTCATAAGTCTGTCAAAAGAACTATCAAAAATATTTTGAAATATTTTTGCCAAAACTATGGTATAACTGTGACTATACCTAATGATCTAAGTTTGTTTAAATTTTGAAAAATCTGTTATTATTTTTAATTTTCAGTAGCACGGCTAGCCCCTAGCAAACCAAGCACATCGGCCACACGCTCCAAACACTTGTATATGTAAAGTTATTCGAGAGGCCATTGCATTTACAATATCGCATACAAGTGAAGCATGCCACACAACGTCTGAAGCGTATGACCGATGTGCTTGGGAAGTTTCAGCAAAATCATAATGCTGTAAAATGTGACAACTGGTTTTAAACTAACGAATAGTGTTTTCAAGGCCAGATCAGTATGTAAACAATGGAATAATTGCTTGAAAATAGTTTTTTCTTAAAAATCTCACTCACTTTTGAGTAACAGTTAGAACTTATGCATGGTTGTATTCACTCTTTTAATACATGGCTGGCATTATCAATTTTTCGTACTGACTGAGTGAGTTTTAATCATTTATTTATATGAATGCAAACTTTTATAACAGTACTTCATTTATATTGATTATTGAGTACTGGGTGCATTCAACTCAATTGCATTCACATAAGTTCGCAAGATTTTTCATTTTTTCCGCGATTTTATTTGCTTTATTTTTGTATTGCATATGCTTCTGTATAGTAAACTATCGCACACTAAACCATTCGTTTAAGTAAATAACACAACGATAAAGATTTGAAGGAAAATTATTAGTTATTCTATGTTTCTTTTATATCTTCAAGTGAAAGGCCATATTTCCAATTATTGTAACAAAAATGATTGAAAATATCAGGAAAAAAAATTCGAAAATAACTGATATTTTTCATACAAAATAGCCTTTTTCATGGCATTAAATTATTCCAAAAAGGTCTACATTAAGCAAGCATATAGCATTACTAATTAGCAAGCAAATTAATAAGTTTCATGCAGTGTTTGTTTCATACTAGGGGGATTTCTCACATAAAAAGTTTGAGCAAATGTGCAAAAATTTCTGTTATTTCTTCTTTTTCATTGAAATTGTATGAAAATGTGCTGAAATGACGATTTTGCTTGAATAAAAGTGTTCTGGAAGTGGGTTTTGGAGGATCCTCAGGATCGTTCAGAACTGCTCCCGATTCTGGAAGTGGGTTTTGGTGGATCCTCAGGATGGACCAGATCCGGTTTGACATTGCCCTGGCCCATCCTGAAGATCCACTTCCAGAACCGGGAGCATTTCTGAAGGATCCTTGAGATCCACCAAAACCAACTTCCATAACAATTTCATCGAAGCATAATTCAAAAGTTCAGTGTAAATGTACATTTATTTACACGAATTGACAAAAATTGATCGAATCGGACCGAATTGAAGATTTTTTTCAAAATTTATAAGAATTTATTCATTTTTTTCGTGAGAAATCCCCCTAGGTTTCATACTTCAAAGATAGGAAACAATTTACACGTGTAGGTTCAGCTGTGTCGGATTCAATCCAAGCACCATCATCTGGACAAGGCTTGACAACGTGACTGCTTGGAGTTTAAATGGGTATCAGTGGTATTTGTGCGTGTGAAACTGCCCTTTTCGTATGCTTTTGGGATTTTACTAGAAGAAGACCATTTATCACCATTGCCGTGGTCAAATACAAAATATATGAAGTTTTACTATTCGTTTAATATAGCTTAATATGGTCATTTAAAGTGAACCATTTTGAACTCAGGAAAGTTGATGCTTCGACAAATGTTGGTTACGCCACGGCTCTGAATATCATTATAGCATATGCCATTATCAACATTGCATACTATTTTTAATCAAATATACACAGGTCTGAAGCTGTAAATGCTCTGACTTTCGATGAAAATGTAGCATTCCTTCATCGGTTGTCAACCGGTGCAAAGGAAACGGTCATTTGGTATTTTCGCAAAGGAAGCAGTTTTTTTATACTTACCGTCTTTTATCAACGTTTATTTTCTTCCGAAACGTTCGATTGACCGTTTGGCTTATCAGTGATTCACCCATAGTGAAAGCATATCTAGAAGCATATTTTTGTTAGAAATAGCAATCGAAATGTAAATGTGAACGCATCCTAATATGTAACATGAAGTTTGACTTGACTTTGACGTTTGATTTATCAATAAACGTTCTTCTTGTTATTACACTCAAACCGACTGGACGTGTTTCAATATTCAAAGCCATAATTTTTCTCAATTTTACTGTGCGATTAAAAAGCCTATTTTCAATTATTTTATAGTGGAGTGAGAAAAAGACGTGACAATGAGCATTCGAAAGCAAAGTTGGTAAGTTGGTCGTGCTAAAATTACAATTGAATTGCAAAACTTTCTATACTAGCTGAAAACGGCGTACGGATTAACTTGATGTCGTAATATGTCGATTATCATTTATTACACCGTGTAACAAATTTCTTTTTTTTCGGCACATGAGAAATTCCGATTGCTTGTTTTAGAGGACCAAAAACCAAGCACATTTGCATCATATCACATATTTCTGGCCGCATATTCGGTTGGTTCGATTTCAACTCTAAAAGAATCGACTTTTGGCCAAAAATCCTTAAATATAGGCTTTTTAGGGATGGTATCTTGGCGGAAAGTTATTTTTTCTCGAAAATATGGGGAGTCTACTCAGACAAAAACTCTCAAAATTGACTTTTTGAGGTACCTCCCGAACAAAAGTTACGTTTTTCATGGCAAATTATCATTTTTTGTTCGGGAGGTACCCCAAAAATACACTATTTGGATGAGTTTCTTAGTAAACAATTATTTTTTTCGAGAAATATTGGGAATCTTCTCACACAGAATCTCTTATAAATGATTTTTGGGGTACCTTCCGAACAAAAAATGATATTTTCATAGAAAAATGCATGAAAAACGTAACTTTTGCTCGGGAGGTACCTCAAAAAGTCAATTTTGAGAGTTTTTGTCTGAGTAGACTCTCCATATTTTCGAGAAAAAATAACTTTGCGCCAAGATACCATCCCTGAAAAGCCATAATTAAGGATTTTTGGCCAAAAGTCGATTCTTTTATAAAACTCTATAGAGTTGAAATCGAACCAACCGAATATGCGGCCAGAAATATGTGAAAACATCACTCGATTTGGTCATGTAAGTATCCAAAATGTTCGTAAAGAATCATACTAGATGTTGAAAGGCAGAAAAGGTAGAAACTATTTGCTTTTACCTGTCAAAACGAAGCTCATGTTTGTGATTTGCTCATTTTGGCCTGAAATTTGTCTTATATGTGTCGATAAAAAAAAATTTAGACGTGGTTTCGAACAAACTAATGATGCAAAAGTGCTTGGTTTTTGGTCCTCCAAAACAATCAATCGGAATTTCTCATGTGCAGAAACATGTGTTGCACGGTGTTATCTATTTCGTGGAATATTTCGTGCTCGAATATCGTTGCGTTTACTAATTTTATGACAAAATTGTGCAAGTTTGAATAAATTCACTGAAATTGCGTGAGATTCCAAATACAAAGAAAAATATTAAAAAAATCCGACATAAATTGCGATTAATTGGAGCTCATTTCTTACTTTGTTCACAAAGTGTCCTTTTCAATGCATGATTTTTGATTTTTGTGTTCAATGATGAATCCAATGTGAAAATATTCCAGGAATAAAAATGAATTTGCCTGACCTACAGACAATGAAGACGTTCAGTTAATAGCAGACAGTGAAGAGCCTGAAGTGGATTTTCGTAAGAAAATTAAATATGGAAGTCGATGGTATGGTCACAATGATTGTGAGACTACGGAAATATGTCGAATTTCCTCGTTTCTAGGCTGCATGGGCGCTGTACTTAGCGAGTTCTTAACGAACAGCACCGTTCATGGTTTTCGATACTTTTCGGAACAATGTATAGTCGTTGACAAAAGAAAGTACCTACTATGAAAACACGGATATATTGCACGCAGTGCATTATGTTTGTGTAAGGGACACACTTATTGACTTGCGCCACACGCTTTGCTGCCGGTGCGTAGTATTTTTGAAAGTGTGAGTCTATTTTGAATAGCGATGAATGTAAAACAAACAAAGTGTCGATACACGCATTGATGTATGCACATTGCACAGGATTGATCTCTTGTGTATTGATTTCGCTCTCGTTTATGGTGTATCACGCATTATCCGTCTACTGATTCGTTTAAAATATGGATTGCTTTTCGCGTCCAAATAAATCAAAAAAACTCACCGATGCCCAAAAAGGCAGAATCATTTCTTTGAGGTATGAAGGCAACCAACATTTGGGAACAATTGCACAACTGGCTGAAACTTCTGTGAAAACCGTTCGTAAATGGCTCGACAGA